AAAAAAAGAAAGAAAAATGACAAAATATGGTGATAGACAAATTTTTCAAAAATTTCAAAAAATGAAAATCTATCATAGGCTTACATTAGATAACAAGTACTGTAATAACTGAAGCAACCACAACTATGGGAAACTCAAACACTTTAAAAATTTGTAGATTGTACATTTCATATATAAGAGATATATAACTGATATAAACTTGAGTAAAAAGTACATTTGTAATGATAAATGCAATAAAATAGATTAGTGGAAGTTAGGCTTTACATAAATAAGAAAACCTGAAATGGAAATTGCGTATGTAGCTGAATTTGTCCGTTAATTTAAGGAACAAATCCTTTTTTTAAAAATTTCCATCTGTTGAATGTAAACAAAACAAAAAAAACTAACTTGACCTTTTGAATCCATAATAGAATGGAAAAGAGAACATCTGGTAAATACAATATCTTGGTGGATAAAAACCATGGAAATATTAAAGAAAGAGTCCTTTAAACTATAAGGAGAAAGAGGAGAATGAGAACAAATTAAGCTACAAAAAATTTAATAGGATTAGACACTGGGCAAAGAAAAGCAAAAGACATTAGAGAAAAAAATCCTTTCTAACTTACCTCTTTTGTTAGTTTAAGACCATCATTTTCCATATTTTACAGTGTAGTAGTAATTTAAAAATATTACAATAGCTTTTAACTGTATCTTTAAAGAAATATATTTAATTAAAAGAAAACCACTCCCATAAATTGAGTTTCATTCTGAGTATTAACAATTCCATAGCCTACTTGAATTTGGCAAAATAAATGCATTAAAGCTATTGAACCTGTATGTAAACTCTATGGGGAAAAAAAAGAGAAATCCATTCTATTTTCCTGAAGTGTTAAGTTGTTTAGTGAGTACTGGTAGCAATAACTATTGTCTCCAGAAAACAATGGCCCTCTATTTGTTGAACCTGGTTTCTGCTACGTTTTCTTAATTTATCACGAGAACATCACGTTGTTACATGATTTTCACTTGTTCTTCAATTTTCTGAGAAAAAGCCACAGCTTACCAGAAACATTTGCCTTATTCCCACAACTAAAAACAAAACAAAACAAAAGCAGAAGTCAAGCACCTGAAGTACAACACATCCGGGCCTTACCTAAGAGCAGGAGGTATATTTCACACTGCAAGATCCCAGCAGGGCTGCCGTGGGGCTCCATGAGAACATGGTGTCCCATGCAGGCAGTGCCCTACTCTCAGGGCTGAGTTGCTTCATGGACCAGCATCTGCTGGTTTATTTGCCAGGGAAATTAGCAGTGAGGTAACAGACTCTATCCTGCCTTCTGCTTCTGTGATTTGAATACAGAATGATGTGTATACAAAGGACACAGGGAGTGGGGACACCTGTTATGTGCTTTGTAAGAATACAGGCTTATGACTTTCAGTATGGCTTCTTAGCGCTTATCAGGAACTGTCAGTATGTTTTATAAATTATTCTTTGTTATTACTAATCACAAGAGGAAAAACATCCTTTTGGATGACTTTATTGAAAAAATAGTATGCTTTCATAATAAACAAAACCAAATATTCCTCTTAGGCAAAATTATGTTATTATTATAAAACTTTAGACATTTTCTATGAAAACTGAAATAGCTCATGTATCTACTAAGCAGTTATTAATCTTCATGATATCACAAATTAACATGTAAAGGTTGTACCGAAAATGCCAGAAGGACAACAGAGATCTTTAAAATGCATTGTTTTCTATGTACTATTTCTTATTACAAATGACTTCTATGGTTTTACTGAATCTTACAGATTGATCTTGTTTTTAGAAGTAGATCACAGGTGTGTTTCCAAGTGGAGCTGAAGCTTGCATCATGCATAATGATAACAAAAACGCCTGTGCCAGCAGATATTATCTGAGGCCAAATTTCACAGCTTGCAGCGAGAGGAAGCAAACCAGTGATGCAGAAAAGAGCTTGCCCATACTGTGGCGTACTGGCCCGGTGGTCTGGCCTGGCCACTGTTGGGGCAGCAGGAAGCCTGAGCACTTCTGCTTAATTTGCTAAGTTGTAAGTTCAATTCTACTTTTTTTTTTTTTTTTTTTTTTGCAGAACCAGGGATTGAACTCAGGCTCTTGTGCTTGCCAGGGAAGTGCTTATTCCACTGAGCCATCTCCCTGGCCCCATCAATTCTATTTTCAAGAAGCATGCTGGGGAGGTAGCTCAGTAGAATAAGTGCCTGCCTGGAAAGCGCAAGGGCCTGAGTCCAATCCCTGGTTCTGCCAAAAATAAAAAATAAAATAAAATAAACAACAAAGTATACATCACTAAAAAAAAATTCTAATCATATTTTCAAGAAGGCTTTCACCATATTAAATTGAAAGTATATTACCAAACGCACATGAAATGAAGTGAAATTCCTTGCACAGCTCAATTTTAGCAGTAAGGCCTCACAGAAGTTCCATGATGGGCAGGGAAGGAAAAGCATTGCTCTGGGGTAACTAAAAGTTAAAAAGCATGATAGTTATTCTGAAATTCAACTTGCTCAAAAAGCTTTCCACAGGCAAAGAAAGTGGCTACTGACAAATTTGAGTCCTGTGTGGAGATCGTTTGATGATCAAACTTCAGAAACATGGTGAGCACTCCCTCAACTGCAGGCAATTTAACTGCACGACAGCATTCTCTGTTGTGTCTCCAGAGCTTATACCTAGATCGGCTGGAGTTCTTATTGCTCAACTGCAATTTATTTGTCGAGATGTTCATTTTACCCCTGAATTCCTCAAATACAGAGAAAAACCAAAGCTGTGGACCTTTAGAATCGAAGCATAGTGCTTCTCCAGCATTTCTGTCAAGATGTTCACCCCAACCCAAACTTCAAATGCTCTTTGGCCTATGCCTTCTGATTCTTAGGTGATAGTCAAGAAATACATATAACTTTAAAAGTTGGAGGTCAGGGATATAGCTCAGCAGGTATAGAGCCTGCCTGGCAAGCACAAGGTCCTGAGTTCGATTCCTAGTACCAAAACAAAAGTTGGGTTGCATAAAATACAATTTGGATTTTAATATATTAATTGCACTGGTATCACAGTTCTCCTGACACCATAGAATTCAATATTGATCTCCAATTTCTGTTTTCAGAGAACCCCTTTCTATTGTTTTCCGACTAAGTGATGGCTCATTATGAAGTTTTTTAGGTCCTTGGCAAAATGAGAGAAATACAGTGTTGTGCATTTTCCCTAATGTTAAATGTACTCAAATTAAGACTTTTTTTAGAATGGTATTTTCCCATTTCTTTTGGTGTCTGAATTGTCCTACGACACTAAATGATAGTGGACATTGTATAAATAAATCCAAGAGCAGGCTGAACTAAACTTGTGATATCTGCCTGCCATGGCATAGAGTAAAAAGTTCACAACGTCTATGGGACATCTTAAGAAAAGTGCCAAGTGGTGTAATCGCGACAAGTCGCCCTCTAGTGGTAGTTCGGTACAAGTAAATCCTTACCTTCCGGAGAAATTTCTGAATTCAGGATATTTACACAGGAAGTTATATAAGCCACGTTCAATTTTAACTCCAAATATTTTTACATAATTCTTAAAACTATTTGGAAGTTCTATCATTATAAGAAATTTACCACCAATATCGCACTTACAACCCACTCGGGAAGCTCTGGTCTATCATACTGATCAGGATAAAAGGGCTTATGGTCTACCGTTTACTTATCTTAGTTATATTTGCCTTTAAAATGAGGTGACTGATTAACCTGAAACAATCTATACCCATGGTGACCAAACTGCAAACAATGCAAGGAGCCACTGGGATAGCGTGTGTGTTTGCACTTGTGTATGAATAGACACACAGTCTTGTGCAGGGTGTGTGTGTGTGTGTGTGTGTGTGTGTGTGTGTTGGGAGACTAGGGCTTTTTGTTACCTTTAAGGTTAGACTAAGTTTACAGTCTAGTTTTAAACTGTAAGGTTAGTCTTGCTTTATATAGCCACAAGAAATTTCAAACACATATTGTCTTCCATTCGCATTCACCGAGTATTTTGAAATGGCAAGAACAGTGGGGAGGGAGGTTGTGAAATGTGAAAGTCGATGAAGAACAGTCGAGTCTATGAAAGAACAAGGGAAAATGTTTTTCTTATTTTTTGTATTTATTTGTTTATATATTTATTATGTAGGTAGCACAGGGTCTCCAGGGTCTCACTACACAGATAGTACTCATAGTGATCCTCCTGTTATCAGCCTCCCAAGCCCTGGGATTACAGGCACGTGCCACCATGCCCAGTCTCAATTGCCAGCTCAGCATGCCCTGGGGGCGGGGCCGACATGGCATGCAGGGGATTGAGCCCTGGTCCCTGTGTCTGCCTAAGTAGATCCTTTAGTCCACTGAGCTATCTGGCCAGCCCTGTTTTTCTTAGTGTAATGAGACAGACCCTAGAAAGGATTACAGTTTACAGAGAGGGCTGGCTACTAGAGGAGGCTATCACATAGGCCTGTGTACGTGCTAGCATTCATGTCCATGTGTGATGCTGCCTTTCGTAATCCTAGCTCTATCTTCTGTGGTCGCTAGTTGAAATGTAGCAGTGTCTTCCCTTATGAGCACCTGACCATGTCACTGCTTTGCCTTTAGCAGCTGTTCTAATTACTCAGGAAGCATAGTCAGACATGATTACAACAAACAGACAAAAAAAAAACCCTTTTTTGATCACTTTTTGTGTAGTTAAGTATATGAGGAAGAAAATTTTGGGGCTGAATCTAGTTCTAGATCTGGATCAAGCTCTAGCGGAATGTGTGGATTATACACCTTATACTGTGGTCCCTCCCTTATCCTGGAGGTTACATTCCAGGCACCCCCGTTAGAAGTGAAAAGCAGCAAAGTAGCAATGTTATATTTGCTTTAGTATTGGTATATATTTTAAGACTTTATAAACCCTTCCCACACTCTTATAAACCTTTCTCACACTTTTACAAACAGTTCTAGTTTTCTTAATAATTTTCTAAACTC